AAATACAAGAAATTGACAGAAAAACACCAGGAAAAATGCCTTGCAAACCTACGTCTGCGGTCGGGAGGAGCTGAATGGGAAAATGCCTGTGTGTGTGTGTGTGTGTGTGTGTGCAGTGATCACTTCGTCAAATGTGAGTTAATATGTTATTTATGTGGCTTATAGAGTTTTACATTCAGAGATCACACCTTCATGGGGGTGAATAACCATTTGCTTGAGAAACCTTCTTCTATAGTGTGTCAGTTTCCATTAACTCTTATAAGGTAAATAAAAAACCTTATTACCTTGTGTTTTACTTATTCCGAAATGAGACATTTGTACCAGTCACACTGTGACATTTTAAATGATGCCAAATATGAAAATACTCTGTGATAATCATTCACATTAAACTATATATTTATATTGTATTATTATATTTAAATATATTTTCTTGAGAGGATTCAGGTGATCATCTGAGCATGAGAGAAGGGTGAAGAGAGAGGGAAAGAGATGTAGATGAAGTTGATTTGGAGTTGAGACTTTTGTCTCGATGTTGCATAAGAGCCAGTTCAAATGGTAATCTCCAGAGAGGTCCTTTTTGTCCTCAGGTTCTGGTCACCCTCGAAACAAACTGTCCGGCATTATTCTGTAATTTATCCATTCTTACACAGTGGTAGTGAGCGAGTAGCTATACATGGTTTACCTGTGGTTACCATGGTCTCATGCTGCGTTCATGTGCTATGGTAATTATGGTAAATACCAAAATCCGACATGTAAAAATGCACATGAACACCCTCATGTGGTATTTTCCACTGGGCAACTCGTAGAATATTTTGATATTTTGGACGAGTTGCCGAGATGAGATAACCTTTGACCATTTCAAAATGGCGGAGAGCACTGCGAGAGTCGTGAATGGTAAAAATATATACTATTCATGCTAGAAAATATACAGCATATTATTTACCTTTTGAGTTTTGACAAATCATTTTCTTGCTGTTGCAGATGACTTAAGCAATCTAAAATAGTTTTAGGTAAATACCAGTTCACAAGTGGAAAATATCCTACTTTGCATAGCACGTGAACGCAGTATCACTGTCAGAATATTTTAATTTCTGCCAAAGATAATTATAAATGAAATTATTTTTACCAATAGTTATAAATTTGTAATATTCATATATTTATTCCAAGAAAAAAGTTTTACACAGCTGTGAACAAGTTTTTCCCTACAGCCCTCACGTCGATCTCTCGATCTCGTCGCTCCACCTTTTATGCTTCCACTCGTCCATGTGGTTTGAATGCGTGTAATTTGAGAGGAAAAACTCCACTCTAAAGGACAAATTAAACCTCTGTGTCCCAGTGGAGTTTTGCTGGCATCTAATGGGGAATTTGTGGTACTGCGCCCAAAACAAAATCTTACTGAAAGCTCATTTTTTGTAGCCAGGTTAAAGGGCCCTTATTATGGCATTTAATGCCACACCACTACCTGACACCTTATCACTATTATTTACACTTTTACATACATGCAATGACAAACACTTTTCTTGTCTTATATAATATTAATTTATTTTTATCTGATTTGCTTAGCGACTCCAGAATGATTCATTCAACGGTTTGAACGATTTGATCCACTGACTCTGCAAAGGAGAACTTTTATATTTAAAACTTTACTTTGGTTCACTTAGATCTGTTACATACTACATGAAAGCTAACTTCAAAATTTTCAAGATTCCATAATAGGTGCCCTTTAAAGAGATACTTCAGGATTTAGCTTCAAGCTTTGTATCAGTAGAATAATGAATGGAGACTGTAGAACACAAAAGCCGAATCCCAGACATTTGGGCGATCTCGAAATCCTTGTCAGACTCATCACGGAGACTCACTAGTAGCTAGCCTTTTTGTTTAATTGTGATCTCTTACAGGTAGGCGTGGCCACCTCGGACAGCGAAGCAAGTGCATTCTGGGAGTTGTTGTTTTTCATCCACTTAAGCTAAAATCTTTTTCATCCACTTAAGCTGAAAAATACATTATTTTCTGGATTTTCTCAGTGTAGAAGTCTAAAAATCCACATTTCTAATACATAAATTACCAATTTTACATACACATTCATCATTGAAAAAAAAAAAAAAAAACATTACAAGCAACAAACCTTTTGCAGCCTGACCAGGGGCCTGTTTCAGAAAGGAGGTTAAGTGAAAAACTCTGAGTATGTTAACCCTGAAATGAGGGAAACTCTGGGTTTTCCGTTTCAGAAAGGGGGGTATATCAAACCCGAGAAAGCAGAGTAAGTCAAGCCCGTTTCTGAAAGAGAGGTAACTTATACTCAGAGTCAGTTACCATGGTAACTTACTCTGTGAACCTAACCTGGTCGGGAGCAGGTTTTCTTCAGTAAACCCAGAGTTTCTTGTGGTCTCCTCCCCTTTTTAAAGAGGAAGTGCTGTTTAAACACCAACAATAATACTAAAATGTATTTACACATTCTTTAGGAATATATATATATTGTTTGTCCATGGTTTAATTGACTAAATCTGTTTTGCAGCACTTTGCCAAAAATAAAAAAGGATTAAAACATTTGCTAAACTTTTATTTGATTACCACTGTTTTGGATAATATATTTCTATTAAATCATTGAAAAAATTTTAATAAAATTTAATAAGTTATTCATGATAAAAAATAAGATGTCAATCATAATCATAATCAATTATTGAAGTTAGTTGATATTATGTTTTATTGAATACATGTTTAATTTATTTAACTGTCATTTTAACTGATGAAAATAATAACCGTAATTTAATAATGCAGTTTATATATTTAACAATTGTTTAATACCATAAACCGTGATATTTTCTGAGACGGTTCTCATACTGTGAAACTCTCATACGTTACAACCCCACATGGGGAGTCCCCCACCCCACCCCCGCTGTTAAACAAGTTACTCAGCAACTTTTACTCATGTTTTAAATTAACTACTTTTTTACTTGAGTAGATTTTTTAGACTGGTATTTTTACTTTTACTTAAGTAAAAATGTATCAAAGTAATAGTAGACTACTTTAGGTTGAATAACATTCTTCCAGTTTCACCTCTGATATTATAAGTTACTCTAAAATAGTTATGAATTATTAACTACAAATGACATCTTCAACGGTGTAGTTAGATTAATGTAATAATTACTATCTCTAGAAAGTATTGGTCTACATATTACTAAATCCTATATCAACCTCAACCACTTGATTAATACAAGGAGGAGAGACAAGAAACTGCACTTTTAATGCTTTCAAATTAACAATACAATTGCAGGAATTATTCTTGAATTGATCAATGTGTGTAGAGGGAGAAGGTTATATAAAAATATACCTTTTAAAAATGTATGCTAAATCCACTACTATTGTTTTATACTGAATTGGTCTATAGTTTATGCAGTAGCCTATTTGCATCATATTTTATTTTAAATTAAAGAAGAATTAAGAGTAATCCCTTTAATTAAATTACAATATTTAGATTACTTGGTAATTAATTATACCCAACACCTCTTTTTGTCTGGCGCTGTTGCCATGGTGACTCGTAATATCTGCGCTCCATTGATAATGGCTTTTTATAGCTGTGGTGCACGCGCTTAACTCAGAGTCAGTCAACTCAGAGTTGATTGAACTAACTCATTTCAGCTGTTC